GGGGCAGAAAGTGGAGATGAAAGCAGATACATAACATTGCTAGAGAGCAGGAAGGAATGGGAAAGGAGACAATATTAAAGAAGAAAATTTTTCGGTCGCTACCCGGATTCGAAGCCGGGATTTTCGAATGAGAGGTGAATACCTTAACCTCTAAGCCCAGAGAGCCCAATGTCGACTTCATTTTTGTGACAGGTGTTTTGGGGCTGCCTAAATCTACCAATTTTTCAGGTAGTTACCGATTTTGGACCTGTTCTACGGCATACCGATAAGGGTATCAAAACTACTGGATTTGCGATTGGTGCCGAGAGTATTTTAAAAGAGAAAAAGCCTGTTCTACACTGTTTCAAATCTTCCCAGTTTTTGCCAAAATCGTACACTCCGAAAGTTCCATATTTGCTGCATCATATCAACTCCTTGCGTTAAAGAAAAAGAGAGAGAGATGGTAGATCTATTAGCTAATTGGCATTCTACAGTGGAACTCGGATTCAACGAGAACTCGGATTCAACGAGAGGAGATGGATTCCCCGTTCTTTTTCTTCTTTAAAATCAGTAAAAAAAATAACCCAGATTCAACGAGCACTTAAATCAGCGATCTCGGATTCAACGAGGTCGATTCCAGGGTGAACAGCCCCTGCAGACGTGGCTTCGCTCATTTTTCTCCCAGAACGAACTTTATCTATTTCCGGAAACCATCCATTGCTTCTGCATCATGAACCATTATTCACTCAGCCAATTGCATGCGACCAATCAGTGGCCTTTTTTAATACCAACACAACGTTGTTGGCTCACACACGTGTCTACTCTAGGCCTAGCGCATGTCGGGGTCGGATGGACGGCTTGTACATGTGTGACTGTGTGTAGTGTGCGTGTGTTGGAGAGGGGGGTGGGGGCACCAGCGGTTCCGAGGTGGAACGTCGCAGAGATACAAACGAGTCACAGTCATTCGACACCCCCCCCCGGCAACTGATCAATATTACAATGATAAGCTAGTCTTGACATAGATCTACGTAATGAATTATGCGCTGGTCTATGGAATGAAAAGTTGCCGTATGCTAGGCTCTACACAGCAGCACAACATTTTGGCAAACAATCAAGACGACACAGGCGTGCATTCGAACTGATTGGTCTTTTTTTTTTTGGCACAGTTCATAATATGCAGGCATTTCAGGCAGCACCAATTGTTAATTACTTGCTCAGTGCCTGTAATTATCTACACAAAACCTTTTGTTTGCTATAACGAACACTCGGATTCAACGAGATTTTAGTTCAGGACCGGCGACCTCGTTGAATCCGAGTTCCACTGTATCAGTTTGCCTCCGTAACTTCTGAGATATTTATGGTAACTCTCTGCAATAAATTGTATTAGAAATTGCCAGATTGCGCTTTTCACCTGCTCAACCATTTTTCCACAGTGCGGTTCCGTCGGCAATAAATTTCCTCATATAAATTAGCTAAAATCTGGTAGTCATCCTCCTTTTATTTTTTCTGTCTATCTTTGGGTTTTTGTTGCAGCTGGAAAATCGGAACATTTATCAAGAAAACTGAACTGTGAATGTAGAAGTAGTAAGAACATTGGTATCAGAGCAAAACTGTCTGTCTCTCTCTCTCTGTCTCTCACACTCACACACATGTACACACACACACACAAACACACACATTGACTATTGTGCATTCACACACATATTTTCAAAATATAATTACCCAATATCACGAACAGCATGCTCCGCTCGATGGTAACTACATGTACAGGCGCAACGATCTTTTTCCCTTTTCTTTTTTGTCTTTGTAGGCCTACTATTTGTACTTCCTGATTTTGAGCCAAAATACCTGAGACTGATCATGAATTTACCTGAAAAGAGAACTTTGGGGAAGGCAGCCCTGCGTCTTCAAATTTAATATTTTATCTAGATTCAGGCTGGGGTCATGCATTTCTTTTATCATAATTTAGATATATATTTGTTGGCGCATATATTTACACTGTTTTATTATAAGTACAAGAACCTGAGTAAGGAATGCCAATGCTGTTCAGTTTGAATTTGGCCCAAGTCTTCTGAGTTTGGTCATCTTTGCAGCGTGTTGAAGAGATGTTTTCTTGGTAACTTTTATACAGCTGAAAAAGGTTGCTCTCGTGGTCTGTAGGTTAAGGTGTTTGCCTCTCGTTCAATAAAATCAATAGGTCCCGGATTTGAGCTGTAAAGGGACGAAAAATGTTTTTCTCTAAAATGTTCTCCTTTCACATCCTTTCCCGCTCTCTAATAATGTTCTGTAGTCTGCTTTCATCTCCACCTTCTGCTCCCACCCCTTCACCTCCTTTGCCCCCACCACCGGGCTCCTGACTCTTTCTGCAGCCTTTCTACTGCTACTCCTTGGTTCCTTCGAACTGTTGTAGTTCGGCCACACCCCTGATCTTAAAGTAGGGAAGATCTAACAGTAGTAACACCTAGCCTTCTCGGATAAAGGCAAAAAATCTCGGAGGTTGCGTGTGCGAGTTGGGCATGTTAAAGATCCCTTAGTGGTCCAAAATCGATAAGAGTAGGCTTCGGCCCCCACCCGAGCAAAATTCAAAATGTCTTATCAACTGAAAATATTTAATGTGTCCCGCGCACTCATATGACCTTATGCAGTTGCAAACGCTGTAAAACACTTAGGCTACGACCGCAGTACGACATTCTTGTCTCGGACAGGATTGTCCTGTCCCACCGTCTATTTTTTTTGTGTCAAAGCAGATACCGCACTAGGACAGGACTGATCTGGCGCCTAAGGCGGCTTCTTTGTTGTTGCCTAAGGCGGAGTTAAAAATGCATTCCGAAAATTTCCTAAATATTGTCCAAATTAAAAAAAATAATATGATTTTCGTGATCAGCGACCCAAAATTAACAATACTCACGCAGGGAACGCAATTTAATGTCCGATTACGAAGTTGAATCACATTTTTTGTGTGCGTGTGTGTTTCACCATTCGGCCCGTACTAGGCCTAGAACTAGATCTAGATTGCATCTTATCTTCTATGTCTCGATTGCTATAACCAACATCAGCCTTGTTGTACAAATATGGTTTACTTTCCATTGCACAAATAAAGTTTTCTATCCAATTTAGATCAACATCCATTTTAATGAGAATAGGCTGTTTAGAAATCATCAAGCAACTGCAGCTGACAATAAAGTTGAGAATCGAGATGCAAAACACGACCATGTGGGCCTACTGCACCGTGTTGTGTGTAGAAGCTTTGATCTGCTAAACGCAGCAGGTGACCATGATACATAACTTCACCATTGACGATAAATTTAAAGAATTAAACTATTTGCTAAAGTTTACATAGTATTGCTTCAAATCAGGTTCCTCTAGAGCCATCTTGCTTATTTTGAGAGGCTGATTCCGGATATGAAATCGGTTTTGAGATGCGATAATTATTTTTAAAATTTTGTGCCCCAAGTTTAATACCGCGGGGCGGCAAATTTTTAAGTGATTATACGTCACAACACGCAGGCGCCACGATCTTGACAGCAGGCGCCTCCAAGCCTGGGACAGTTTTGTCGTAATGCGGTAGGCAGCTATATTTCTCTATAATTACAGATGATATTAACCCGGGACTGGGATAGTCCTGTCCCACCAATTTTGTAGCAATTCACAACTGCTCGGGACTCTACACTCTAATTCAAAGGTTTCAAACTCCAGACGGGTCTGTCGTGGGACGAACTGTCATTGTGCGGTAGAGGCCTTACCCCTCAAAAAAAGTTGAAATGTCTTGCATTGTAAGAATTAACACTAAAGTTTTCCACTTGAAAATATTTCTAAATCTAATGTTATATATTTTTTAATATTTTGCGAGTTAAAATGTAAACAAAGTTTTACATAATTCCATTTCAGGTCATGAGTATGTCACAAACCTTCCTCTTCAAATGGCTCTGTATTTCAACTGTTTCTTCTTTCCATTGTGGCTCATTGGAAGTTTAGTCATTTTAGAGCTTAAGGTAAGTGGGGTTTTTTTTTAACTTCGTCATTTCTCTTTTTTGTATACCAGTATCACATTTAATTTTTTTTTTAATTTTCTTTATTAGATCCCTATTTCTGTTAAGTCCTGACACCATTCACTGAATGCATAGGTACACTTAAGAGGAAGTATTTATGTCCCTCTTCCACTAAGTACACCAGCTTTCTAGCCTGATTAATGTCTGTCCTTTCTCTAATAGGGGGTGCCCACTAAAGCGATCGGGTCGATTTGGTAGTCGGGACTAGCCAAATTGAGGGCGCAAAGCGGTCATCGTGGCACAAACCGATCGACATGGTCCGTGACCTCAAAAAACAAACGCGTTTGACACTGAGATGTCAAGGTAAAGCTTTTCCGCGCAGAAATACCATCAACAGTTGACAACAATGGAGTCCTTTGACTTAAAGCTAGAAAAGATAATAGCAAAGATTGTAATAACAAGATAGTTCTCTCCTCTCTTTGAGTGAATTAAAAAAGGTCCTCAAAATCTGGTTGCGCCCTCCTAAAAAAAGTGTGGACTTTGCGAACAGAGTTACCCTACTTATGTGAAAAATAATAAAAGCGAAATTGACAAACTGTGCTATTCCTCTTCTTCTTCTGGAAAAACGAAAGAGAGCTTCAAAACAAAGACTGCAGCGCCATCTGAACCAATGCACGGACTTCCACTGACACTTTTTTGGGCCAAGTGAACTAGCCTATCACTATCGTGTTATGAACGATCTTTGATAATTGAAAGTTATCGATGTAACCCATGTTCATTTATGGGATTCCAGGCTGCAGCAGCACTGCAACAGAGAACTGCGGAAAGAAGCCCTGGAAGCTATTGAGGTTAAAGGTTTCTCTACTTTAACTTCCAGGTCGTTGGGTACAATCGTGGCGGGGTTGTAGTGTGCACTGAAACCACCAGAAAACAACCAGACCTTACGACCCGACCCCGATTGCACTAATGGGCACCCCCTATAAATCTAAGTTTGGAGATTCATCTGCACCTCTTTTTTCCAATCCTCCCTCCTTTCCTTACAGGGCAAAAAACACACACACACACACACCAGCTTCTAACTCTAACCTTTAAAAAGTACACAATAACTAGTCTTGTAAAACGGTCCTGACGAGTGAATGACATGCTGAAAGTTCATTTTGCTACCTAATGTAATTTTATATTTTTGATTCTCTAGAGCAAATAAATTATTTCTTAATTTGATCAAATACAGTGGAACTCGGATTCAACGAGATGAGATAGATTCCCCGTTTTTTTTCTTCTTTAAAATCAATAAAAGTGACCCGGATTCAACGAGCATTTAAATCATCGAGCTGGGATTCAACGAGGTCGCCTCCAGGGGGAACAGCCCCCGCAGACGTGACTTCAGCTAATTTTTCTCCCAGAACAAACTTTATCTATTCCCGGAAACCATCCATTGCACCTGCATCGTGAACCATTATTCACATGGCTGATTGCATGCGACCAGTCAGCGGCCTTTTTAAATACCAACACATGTGTTGTTGGCACGCGAGCGCACTTGTCTACTCTGGCGTGTGTCGGGGTCGGATGGGCGGCCTGCACACATGTGGTTGTGTGTGTGTGTGTGTGTGTGTGTGTGTCGTGGAAAGGGGGGGGCAGGCACTAGCGGTCCGGGCGTTGAACCTCGCATATATATGCAAACGGGTCATAATCTTTTTTCCCCTCGGCAACTGATCATTGTTACAATAATAATATTATAAAAATAAGCTAGTCTTGACGTAGATCTACATACTGAATTGTGCGCTGGTCTATGGAATCAAGTTGCCGTATGCTAGGCTCTACACAGCAACACAACTTTTTGGTAAACAATCGAGATGACACAGGCGTGTGTATTTGAACGAATCGGTCTTTTTTTACACAGCTCATAATATGCAGGCATTTCAGGCACTACTTGTGACTTCTCTTGTACATTACTTGCTCAGTGCCTGTAATTATCTACACAAAACCTCGTGTTTGCTATAACGACCACTCGGATTCAACGAGATTTTAGGTCAGGCCCAACGACCTCGTTGAATCCGAGTTCCACTGTAGATGGATAACCTGCTTGTCACAATTATAGAAGGACATATGACTTATTGTGTTTATGCGTTTTAAAAAAACCCTCAAACAATAAGAGACGATTTTTCATTTTCTTACTTTCTAATCCGTTAGCTTCTCTTGTTGTGGTCTTCATTCCACAGTGGGAGTATTTGGATGACTTGTACCGGATTGTGCTGGCTGCGGTCTATATTGTGTATTTCATCATCGAAATTGTACGGCTTTATCTTGGCTATTTAGGAAATCTAATGGAAAGGGTAAGTTTCGCTCGCTGGATGATGCTACTCATTTCTGAGGAGTGCTAACAAAATAAGTTACTTCTCGGAATTTAGGTCTATGGGAATTGATCCGTCAAATTTATAGGTGAATTTTGTACAATTTCTAAGTATGAAATAATAAAAGACATGTTAAATTAAAAGAAAATGGCATCAATTGAAATTCTATAAATTTGTTCTCACTGTTGATTTTTGACTGATATCTTCTTTCTTGGATTGTGAGATGCGACTTATTATGTCAGCATGCCTCACATTTGTTTGTTATTTTCATTTCCATGGATTGTCAAGAATTTGCCAGTGTCTGCAGAGAAATGGATACACTCATTGTCGTTGCTCAAAGAAGATGCGAATTCAGTTCCCAGATGGGGAGAAACTTTATTGAGTATCTATCATGTCTGTCTGTTTAGATGTTTTATCCCTCTCTGCTGAAGTTGGCCATGACAGGCTGGGTCAAAGCAGCTGGTCTTCAAATGAACCTAATACTGTAATACTAATTGTGTTGAGGAGGGACTTTGAACATTTATCACTTGCAACAAATTGACTTCTCAGTGTATGACTCCAACATACGCCAGTCTTCAAAATGACATAAATCGCAATCTTACTTCTTAATCTTTCCCTAAGCGGTTGAAATGTTCTAGAATTCATAGATACTGTTTAGTTGTCTCTTTTAGTCATATAATATGAGAATACCCCCAAGTTACAGTGCTCACTTTAAGATGAGCTGACAAATGAATAAATGCGAGTCGTTTTAATTTTTGGGTATCGAGTGGAACTAAAAAATGATTGAGGGACTTGTGATCTGATTCAGATACTGCTTAGCTTGTGCTCTCTTTAACTTTAAGAAATTTTAGTTAATTATAAAACGCTGTTTGAAAAATGTGTCTGGTTTGTCAGCTCCTTGATATTTGGGTGGTTGGAGGGTGCTACTACATACTTTTTGTCTTTCTCCCTATTGTTTCTGTCTGGTTTTTTTCCTTTTTGTTGTGCACACCAAGTGACCATTATTGTGTTGATGTGCATATCTTTGCTCTAATTAACCCTTCCGGCTCCAGCCATTTTTGTGCACTCCCTAACCCCAGTCCCAGCCAATACAGTAGAAAAAGAGGTGTGCTCTCTAAAAAGTGATGTATTATCTTTGTAATGAGGTACATAATAACATTAACAATGTTTAACTCACTGAGCACCACGCCTCAATTTGCCTCCAACTCCAAGCCCTAGGTGACCACCAATTTCCCCCACTTTTTGAAAATTCATTTAAAAATTGAAATGATGTGCTATTTCTTTGAAATTTTCTGTGCGGGTACGGGTTCAACAGACACAATAAACACATTTTGTGAAGAATGAACGATAAAAAATGTATGGGACAGAAAGTTGGGACAAATTTGCCCAAGAAAAAAAGATTTGAAAAAAAAAAAGGAAGTGATGTGACAAAGCAGAAATCTAATAAACTTATACAAAATGGTTGTGGCAGTGTGTGTTTGTGTGTAGGAGAATGAAGCATGAGTGTGTACAGTGAAGTAGCATAAAAATGTAAATGATAATTAATTTTGAAAAAGGAAAAAAAATATAAATATAGATCTAAATCTTCCACGGTGACAGGCTGAGAAGTGTTTTCATTGTCAGTGTTGCTAGTGCTAAGACTAGATCTAGATCTGTCAATAGATGTCCCAGGTCTGGGTACATTATATATCTTCTCCACTTTGAGGGCTGATTTGAGTTTAGTACTTGGGCTAGATTTATCATCAACCCCAGCTGGACCAGGCTGCGTACTCGCTGATGTTTCAGATTCACGATCGATAGACGATATTGGTCTAGACCTAGATCTAATGTCATTTTCTCAGTCATCTTCATCACTACTAGTACTAGGCGAATTCACATTTTGATTTATGAAGTTATCTATGTGATACTTCACTGTCACTTAAATCTTCTCCAAAATTATCGAGAGTTTCAATAAACCTCGACACAACTCGCCGTGCCATGCTTCGCATACGAGAAACAACAACAAACTGCGCGGAAGTTCCTTACTTTCAATTGTTCAGTCTGTTGGACAAATAATCCGTTTATTCGCACTAAAAGTGGCGACTCTTTTCGTCTATGCAGACGGTCATTTAGCTTAAGATGGTCTCAAGGTTGTCTTCATGCTGTTTCTTTCATGGCTAATTCTTCCTAAATCATACTATATGTTTGAAGCTCAGATTCTGTCGCCGAACTTGCATGTCAGTGTCGTAGATCGAAGCTCTGTATTTCCACTGTTTTCCTTTCGTTGTTGGCGCTTCTCAGCCTTGTTTCTAAGGCTGCTCTCTAGCATAAAGAACTAGCTTGTCGATGTCCTGTTGAAACCACTGGGGCTATTTGCAAGCATTTTTAAACTGCTGGGTTTACTTTATAGTCAATTATAGTTGAACCCGCATACGCTGCGGTCGCGCGGTCCCCGACGCGAATTTTTCCTGACCACATATGCTGCGGGAGCTGTGCTCAGTGAGTTAAAGGTAGCATATATAAACAAATATTATGAAAATTAAAGTTTAATTAAATTCGCTAATTTAGAAAAATGCTCAAATTCGGTACCCCCGAAACTGAGAATATACGCTCTTGGGGTGGTGGGAGGTACAAGGCTGCTGAAAATATACGAGAATGGGCCTGGAAGGGTTAAATGACTGTTATAGCTTCAATTTACTCAAACAAACAAAATTTCTGCTGTCGTATTGATACGCTTCTCTTTATATAAATTAAATGGCTGATATTATGTCGATGTGCTCCTTTCTCTTTTTATTCGAACAAACAAGACCATGACTGACTTTGGGCTTGCCTCTCGGCAGGTTCCTGAACTGGCTGGTAGCTGGCTCCTCACCCTGCTGTTGAGCACTCCCCTCATCCTACTCCTCAACATCAACGACAGCGCCATTCTGCTTCCCATGGAGAGGGCGTTACATCTCATCATGGGTATTTTTGTCCTCTTTGAGGTCGTCATCGGGTATTTTGCCATTCGGGCAATGGTGAATTATCAGGTAAGATGTCTTCACAGGTTTGCATTAACCCTGGAAGCGCGCAGGCCCTATATAAAGGGCGTGAGCCGGGCTACCCGGGAAGCGCGCACGCCCTATATATAGGGCTGACCTACTTCGACCGGGAAGCGCGCAGGCCCTATATAAAGGGCATAGACGCTGACCCTTTTCAATGGAAAATTCCAGTGTTCCTTATATGGAAAATGACGTAGTCAATTACAGGCCAAAGTTATAAATAGTGACCAATGACTTTGCAAGTTATCTTGACCTCGTAGAGCGTCTCTTGGCCGAAATATCGATCGATAAAGTGACGCGGTCCCGCTGAGCGACTACACGCTATGTGTTATCACTTGTTTCGCCGTGCTGATGTACTAATTGTTGAGTCTATCGCGTTCTCGGCATTGTTTGTATTTGTTTGATGGCTGATCATTTTTGAATGGCTCATTCTATCAGCTTAAAGAAAATATATGCTTTTATATATATGCTTTTTATCATCTGTTGAGCCGTAAATGGTCATTTTTCAGTAGCAGGTATACATTTCGGGTATCTCAGCTGTTTCCCCCCCCGCCAAACCCCCATGTTTACAACTGATCGGCCGTGGCGGCGGGGCATTTTTGGCGGGTTACTTCCGGTGAAACGCTGAGCGCTTCTAGGGTTAAGTAATTTGGCTGGTTGGAAGGCACTACAGTAGGTCCTCCTTTTTTTACTTCCCCTTGTTGTTTCTTTTACATGTTTTACATTTTTTCTGTGCTCTAAAAATGTGAGTGATTGTAGAAGGATGCCACTTGTCGGTCGTACTATTTTTCTTTCTCTCAGTTGTTTCTGTCTGCCTGCCTTGGTTTGTTGAATGGATTACTGTAGCTATTGTTTGAAGGCTAAGGCTAGCATGTGTTAGCGGCATTGAAGAATGCTGAACAAGCTGTCTGCTAACTGATCTTGACATTTTGTATGAAAATTTCAGATGAGAAGTTGGACAAGCACCTGATAATTTTGGTTGTAACTCTGTTATCTCCACAACAACAAAATCTAGATAATCTCAGTGCAGGCTGTTGCATCCCTGCCTGTGGTAGATCACATCACAGGGGACAGATGGAGACTCCTCCCCACGCAGGAATCGAACCCATGTGTCCTGCATGCTCCTGCAAAAAGCTTAACTGTTGCAGACCACATACTTGTCATAGCATTTTGTGTTCAAAATGCCATATATGAAAAGTTGGACAGCCTGAACCAAGTAAAATGTTATTAACTCTTCATGTCCGTAGAAGATTTTCGTTCTGATCCTGACCGAAGCCTCCCAGGGACTGATCCTATACAGCAGAATGGTGGGTTACAAAAGTATAACTTTCAGTCTGCTAGGCCCACATCAAAACTTTTGGTATGTTTGTGTTCAGAAATGAAAGTTGCTTTTATTGATCTTCATTTTTTTAGATGCTTTTATGGAAGAATAAATATAGACTATTGAAGTAAAGGGCCATAGCACAAAAAAGTTGCTATATTACATAACATTGTTCACACAAATATGGGTGTAACTTTATAAAACTTGAACACAGAGCCAAAGTAAAAGAAGCAAAAATGTTGATAAACATTCTAGGATTACATCTATGGTGGCTGTAGCTACTTTGAAGCCCATCCTTTTGAAATACACCAAAATTTTGAGTAATTCTTTGAAGTTTCCAGGTGTAAGCTGAGGTGTACAATAAACGCATAAAAAAGTCACATTCACATAGAATAGGCCTACACACTACGATGAACTAACCTGAATAGAGCCTCAACAAGAACCAACATCTAGATCTAGATTTATAATATTCAAATGGAATGAAAATTTGTCTCAGTATAATCGAAACAAGAAAACTGTCACTATAATTATTTCAGGAGCAATCTTCAGCAACGATAATCTCCCTAACCAACACAAACAAATTAGACACAGAAAATCAGCTGTTTGGAAACAAGCCATCAAATCTAGCATACGCACCCGCACAAACACTACAAAATGAAAGTACAAACAGAAAAAGACCTATTTTCGGCATTTACGACCATAATTTCGGTTGATGTCGTGAAATACTACTTTCGCGTGTATTTAATGAAGGCTAGTGTAGCAAGCCCTTGTCAGCGGCCAAACTCACTTCACGCCGAGCCGCTCCCAATGGCTCACCGGACATGAAGAGTTAAATGACAAACATAATATCTGATGCGATGTGTATATATATATATATATATATATATATATATATATATATATATATATATATATATATATATACATATATATATATATTTTTTTATTTTTTAAAAAAATAATTTCTCTAATTTATTTTCCTTCTTTTATTCTTCCAGGTAACCAAGTATCACTTGCAGCAGTTCTCAGATTTGGAAAACATGGATGACAGTGGCGATTATTTCCCAGAGTCTCGTTATACAAGCTAACATCACCACCCATATATCCTCATCAGTCTTTTTCCTTAGAAATTGCTTGGTTCTGCTTTTCTTCGGTAGGCCTACTTATAAATCACCTTAGTGACCTACCGTTGTGTCTTGCAGTTTGGTCTGTATTGTACCTCCAAATTATGCTTTCTGAGAAAAAATTTACCCACCTCTAAGATTGAGATTGTAATAATTTTACTCTAAAGTGCATACATGATACACCAAGTGAATGAAAAGAATGGGTTCTTTTCTATCAAGTGAATGTTTGGAAAACGTGAGCAAGATTCAGGAAGTCCAACGGGTTTCTTTGAAAGCATTCTGCAGAGTGAACATTCTCATCACGGATCTTGGAGGTAGTGCTGCTGGTAGTGGAGACAAGTATACTGATTTAGTTATGCTCTCTAACCTAACCTCCCATGATAAAATGCGTTGCCTGACACCCTTGGCATAGAAATGTTTGTCTAATTAGGCCTATATTATATAGTCGACTAGAGAAGAAGAGGTGCTGAGACCCAAGGAAAAGATCAACTTAACCGATAATCAACTCAAGTGAGCTCAACACAAGTGGAGTCGACTGTCATAGTATTGTGCAACATTGAGGTCATGCAGTTACATGTAAGTTCAGAACATGCCCTTTCTGTTGCTCCACAGCTAGCTGCAAATAAAAGATCTGAGTTGTGCCTTTGTGTGTATGCATGTTTGAGTAATTGCAGATATATGTGCTAAGTTCTGATTGGATGATTGGCTGGGAAAAAGAACATGTAAAAGTAGAGAGAATGAAAAAGAGACAATTATTAAGTGAACATATATTGTTGTACCTGCGGAGGTAATAGTTATGATGACATGTAAATATCTCATATGTATATAATATATATTTATGAATAAATTTAGTATATATTTATGCAAAGAATTATCCTTCTGTTATAATTTCATTCGTTTTGTTTGATCAAATAGCTAACAATTCGATTGTTACTTTTAAAAGTTACTCTGGCACCATTTGTTTTAGATTTCTATGCAATGATGTCTCCTCATGAATGGTTTGTGGTTTATAGGGATATTGTTAAAAAAAACAACAACAAAAAAACTGTTAATGTTTTGTCGCGTGAAACAATTTAGACAATTTATTAGATGGGCTACTTTGATCTTACCTGTCAAGGCCAGCCCGTGCTGAGATAGATGAAGATAGGCCTACTTGATAAAATATCTCCCACTTGGGAATGGAAATCAAATCTTTTATGTGCAACAACGTAGAGTCATAAGTTCTAACCATTACACGATAGACTCTAGGGTGTGCAATTCTAAAATAATGGAGTACCATATGAAAGTTTTGGCATTGCCACTATTGTAGAGCTCAGGTATTATTATTAACACCAACAATTTTGTAGGGGAGTTCTTGTGGCAGGATAGGTTTGTAATGTTTGGTAATGTGGCAGATGCAGACAACATATATAACGGACACAACAGGTTTCTTGTATAGTTGTACATCAACCGATGACCGAGACCTTTTATTCCGTACAGACATTTTTCGTGTTAGTGTTTTTAAGGCACTTGCAACACAATTATGTCACATAAGTGCTGAAAATTAGAGGTGTTGCAAGAGAGTAACAAACGTAAAAAAAGAGGAGAGACAAGGACGATAAGTGTTTGATAGGAATGAAGGAGCAAGTCACACCAGAACACCCGCCAACCACCTACTTTATACAGACAGACATGAGGTGCAAGAACAAGTAATATTTGAGTATGAGCTTGTTTGAGTAAAGATAATCTGAAACGCATCGACACAGAAATGTTTACGGTATGAAGTTAGTGCAAGGAAAAAAGCAAAACAGAAACACCAGTGGAAAAGGAAAGAAGGACCTACCAGTGGTTCCCTCCAAACTCCAACCATCCGTTTGAGTATGTGCTACATGCGCATAATAATCTAACATAAGTATTGTAAGATACACAAAGAGCAATCTGAGATCTGAGTAGGCTATACTAAAAAACGAAAACATATCAGGACTTTTTGGTTCCATAAGGGACGCTCATTTCAACCATACTGAATCCACAGACTGCTAATTGGACTTCTTGCTGTACCCATCTAAAGATGTAGCTGTTTTGAGAATTTGTTGTACCTATCTAAAGATGCTGTTCTGAGAATTTGTTTTATGGTACGGTAATTCTGAGTTTTACATCTTTTTCAATATTCTCTAAATTTGACTTGGGGCAGAACCTGCAGCTACAAATAAACATGATCTATGCCCAGTATGAACAGACAGTATGGTATTTATTTTTTTAACCAACCCTTTGATTCTAAATACTCTTAAATGTTTACAACGTAGGCTTACATCTTTGATAGGACAGAGTTAAAGAGGGAGAGAGCCTTGAATTCTCCTTAAACAATCCAAGCTCACTAACGCCCACACACACCATTGGAGATTCGGAACAGGGTCATCCTCAACACCACCCAGCATGACACCAACTGAGCTGATAATAATGCTTTCATATTAGATTGTATGGGTTTAAAGCTGTTTAATGTCCCTTTCAACGCCAAAAGATTTTAAAAGGCAGGACCTCTGAATATAATGTCCATCTCTGATGGGACCAAGCCAAATGGATGGAAAGCCTTGAAAATGGTGTTTCCATGAATAGGTGGAAAGCCCAATAAAATGCCTAAATATGGCAAATTACATGTACAAGGTTAAAAAAAAGATTCATACTAGGCTTGTCAGCATAGCTATAACTGAAAATGTTGGAGCCTTTAGTCTGAAAATGATCATATGGCAATACATTTACTATAAAAAATGTCTACTTGAACACTTGAATTTACTCAAAATTTCAAATCTTGCAAACTGAGTAAACGTCCCCCCCCCCTTCCCTCTCCCAAGTAGTAAAAAATGTATGTGCCCATTGACACGATTTAGATCATTTAAGAGGTGGGTTACTTCGACCCAGCCTGTCAGAACTAACCCAGTATTAATGGAATACAGCATCCCATCAAAAATATAAGAAGCTACTCAATAAAAAAAACTTCCCAGGTGGCAACCTCCAACCGCCCACACTTCACATGCATCACAAGTTCACAGGAAGCCACAAAATTTGAAAATGAACGGACAAGGTAAAAGTATGATACAGACAGTTTAATTGTCTAAATAAATTTTTAATACAATCAACCATCCACATACATGTAGTACTACAAACTTTTTCTCATTTAGGTCACCTGTCCAGTCAGTAAGTTTGAGACTATGTTTATATTTCTCTATAGTCAGAGTGCATGGGTGTTAACTAACTAGCTACAAGGAATATCACATGATATAGTTCACTGAGGAAAGGGTGAATGCTCCCCCAAAGGAAGTACTTAACATTGAGCCTAAACTCACTCGCTGCCAGGCACTTTATGGCTCAATGTGTGAAGAATGCAAGGCCTTTGGTACCTATTACTCAAATTTTATCCGAAACTCCCAAGAGCCTGGCAGCTAGTGAGGTAATCGGCTTTAGAACCATATATGTGAGCAGCGTGGTGGAACCAGGCTCTCGTTAAAATAATCAAAGTGAAGAAACTTGCATTTTTCCGCAGGATTGTGAATTTTTATCAAATTTATGTTTTTGGGCTCAACACTTTTCACGCCCATTAAAGAACTCATTTCTGTGTGAATTTCTGTGAAAAACGTTGATTAAAGGCACAAAAAAAGTAAAATTTCAGTTACCACGGACTCTTAGACTCTTAAGCTAAGGAAATAACTAATCTTTGGCACCCATTTTCTCACTAATTTGACCTCTGAAAACAGATGAACCCCACCTCCTTCATTCTCAAATATCTGGACTTGTATTTAACATAAATGGATATTTTTTCATCCAAATAAAGAACAAGCTTTAAGGTGATAACAATAACTCTACATGCCCAAAAACTGATGAGAGCCTGATTCCACCATGCTGCCTGACATATGATAAAATGCAACACACATACACAAACAAAGAAATTAGAGCAAACTCTTTCTCCTGTCACCTCTTTCTTCTGACTTAAGGCTGCTGTGTGGCGGCTGGGCGTTTCCAGTGAGTTGGGTTTTTTTTCTTCATCGAGCATTTTGGTTTGTTTGCTGGGATGCAGTATCTTTCTTATCTCATGTTGGCCAGGATAAGACGGGTTGAAGCAGTTTACCTCTTATAAGATCTAAACTGTGTCAATGGGGGTGTAAAATCTACAATCATATCTTACATTATTAATATAATAGCATTGTTCTTTCAACTTACACCTTAATGCGTACCTACATGCATTACATAACACAAATTGTATATATATACAATAATAAAATCAGACCGTACTCTCTCCTCTCCTCTCTTTCTTTTAAACTTCCATGTGTACATACATGTATGCATTCATGCAAAGCCATCATACACCAAAAGCCTCTTGTAACATTTATTCATTCATTCTCAAACCACCAATAGTATCCCCACAAACACTACTACTACTAGTCATACCAGAATACAAACTAATTATAAACACTATTTCACACATAAGCATACTTCTTCTCTTACACACTTTGTTTAATTGCCACACTCTTAACATAGTAGTATGCAGACAGAAATTTTATGTACACTATTTGAAGGTGTTTAGATGCAAAAACCAATAAACATCATTTTTTACTTTTTAGAAAAGGATCCTCGCGCTTGGTAATGCTGGGACAGCAGTACTCTGAATGAGTATAATTTCAGTGCACAAACGGCTACAACTCTAAATAAATTCTCCCCGAAAAAAGTTTTTTTTACAATAATCACAATATCCAGTTCATTCTCTGTGCAAAACCAGCAATATCCTTCAACTTGGCAAGCAGCGAATCGCTGGCCACGATTGAGTAATATGACATGCCGTAACCCACAGTAAACTCTTTGACAAAATGACAAACTCTGCTGCTCATGTCAAGAATGAAGTGCCAGTTGTTGTCAACTCATTTGAGGATGGTTTGGATGAGAACTTATAACATTCTAACAGTGGAAGAAAACGAAAACTGAATCCTGAACAAATACATAGGGAAATCATAAAGCCAAAGCAATATATGCGGGCCAGGGTAAGACACTATCCACCGCTTGTGACAACGTGTCTACGGCTAACACAAGTTTCTGTCATGTCAACGTTCTTTCAGAGAATGCCCTGAAGTTGGGCAGGGATCATTTTATGCGACAACTATTATATATGAGCAAGATGTGATAATTTCAAATCTGTTGGACATTGCCAGGGCCAAGAGTTTCTCTTGAAGCCATGTACATGCAGACAGGTATTATTCCTATAAAGTTTTGGTGGAATATCTCTTGGAGAAGTCTTACAACTACACCGGACCACTCAACGTTTGACAAGTTGATTTTCCGCCTGAGATCAAGACGCTGAAACTTGAGCAGCACGAAATGAAATTTTACACAAAAACAGGCAAACAAATATTCGCGCTGCATTTAGGGACAAAAAACGCAAAGAAAAATGTGTCATGGTTTCTGCAAAGGGTGGCATGGAGACTGTGACAATTGGTTCGGGGGACGAGGCCATTGACATAGACAAACCTAAAACAGTTCATGAGTACAACCAGTCAAAGAACGGATGTGACAGAATGGACCTAATGGTAGGTTATTACAGTTTGCACCAGAGAAAAACAAAAAAGCGGTGGAAAAAGATCAATCACTGGATTTTTGAAAAAACGCAAGCGAATGCACATATCCTGTACAGCCTTTGCCACAGCAATGAACGGATAATGAGCTTGAAAATTTTCAAGGAAAAGCTCATGACTGAAGTGGTGGCAAAAGCTGGCAAAATTACACCTGCGACTGAAGTGAATGCCCCTCCAAAGCATGTAAATTACAAAAGAGAGGATGTCAACAAAGGAGAAAGGTATCTTGATGAATTACGCTGCTCGCATAATTTTAAAGAAATCTCTCAAAGAGCATGTAACACCAATTCAATGCTAATTCAACTACATTGGCTCCCGGTGAAAGCACGAATGCGGTACAAAATAATTGTTCTTTGTTTTAAGTGCGTCAACAACATTGCACCATCATATCTTTGTGACATGGTCGTCAAATATATACCATCTCGGCATTTAAGATCGGCGAAGAAAAGACTTTTAAGACATGTCCAAAGCAAAAGTCAGAGACTCAGAGGGAAAGCCTTTTCACACCACACCCCCTCCCTGTGGAACGCTTTGCCAGCTCATCTACGGGAGTCTACCACTTTAACAAAATTCAAATCAGCACCTAAAACGCATTTGTTTCAGTCCAGCTTCAATCAGTAATTTCCTACATTCCCAATACAAATATTATATTATGTTCTCTCAGTATTTGTATTTATTTCTGTAACAATTTATGACTGTGTGATGTCATCAATGTGTACGAGAGTGTCTGGGTAAGTTTTGTGGGATTGTCTATACTCAAGGCTGTACTGGAGAGAGAGAGAGAGAGAGAGAGAGAGAGAGACAGAGAGACAGAGAGACAGAGAGACAGAGAGAGACAGAGACAGAGAGACAGACAGAGACAGACAGAGACAGACAGAGAGACAGAGACAGAGAGAGAGAAAAAGGATTACTATCGGAGCTGAGCGCTGCATACGTTCTTTGTACTATTGTATAGCACATTGAGCACTTCTTTGTGGAAATGTGCTATATAAATGCAATTTTTTAATTATTATTATTATTGAATTTGTTGGGAAGAACAGGAACTGTGCTCATTGCAGCAAGACAGGCGCCCGCAAGAGATCTAGTTATATATGTACTGGATGCTAAAAAAAAAAACCCACTTGTGCCCTAAACATTGTTTTGTGGCTTTCCATAAAAAGAAGAGTAGAGGAAAATATCATCCATGTGGAATTGTGTGCATAAGTTGTTCATTGGGAGAAAACTATGAAAAACGATGGCCTTTTTTTATTTTGTTGTGCATGCTGTGAGATGATCCTTTGAGTACGAGAAAATTATGCACCAAAAACAGGCTACCAACTTTTTTGTATGCACCTCTGAAACATAAACAGTAAAGTTCTTGGACATTGTGTGTATATAGCAGTGCATTCATTCAGTTTGGATCACAACAGGAAAACTTCATCAGATGCAGAATGAAACGTTAGTGTGAATCATGTTTCGGTCACTGAAAACATTTTTGGGACTATTTCACCTAAAACCTTTTTTTTTTGCATGCATAATTTTTTTTCTTTCCAGAATCAATCTACAACAATTGCACATTATTTTGATATATGACACTCTCAAATGATTTGGTTTTAGGGGATGTCAGCATCAGATTTCGTAACAGGGGTGTGTGGTTTCCAAATGTGCTGAGATTTGGTTGCGTCCAACTGTGGTTTTTAGATTCAAGCAAAAAGAGTTAAGTGGAGCCACCGAGCAAGAGACTGTGTGGTGTGTAATCTTCCTGCTGCAGTGCGGGATTGGTTCAAACAGCAGGCAAACAAGCCACTGGTGTCAGGACTGCAACGCCCCCCCCCCTGTGTTATCCTGAATGCTTTATTCTATACAATCCATACATGGAGTACCAACAAGAAGCCAGGAAACAGGAGCTGGGAGGTTACAAGAGTTGGAAACTTCAATAATTCAAGGATTAACTGGCACTGTCAACTCAATGCATATATGCCAATGGGACTGAAAAATGGTACAGGGTTAACGCCCCTATCAACACTATTAGGTTATTTAAGAGTCGGGACCTCCGAGCTTAACGTTCATTTCCGAAAGGACCGAGCCAAATGGAAAATTCTTCCCCAAGGACACAACGTTGGACCGAGCTGAGGCTCAAACCCCCAAACCTGCGGTCTCATGATTACAAGTCCGATAGCGTAACCACTAGGCCGTCAATGTCACCCAAAGGTTCTATTTTCAGTCCGAAAATTACAATACCTGTTGTAAATGAGTTATGTTATTTTATAAATATTTTTTTAATGCAGAAGTGTTTTACACCCTCATCGACACAATTTTGACAAATTAAGACGAGAGTTTCAGCTCTGCCTGTCAAAGTCAAGGCCAACAAGAGCTGAGAGGAATATAACGTCCCATCTGAAAGAGGGAAGATACTCAATAAAAATATTCCCCCTTGGGAATCGTACTCTGGTCTTCTGTGTATGATGCGATGGCGAAGTGTCCAACCACTAGCCTTCACTACAGACGCTGGTTAAAACATAATTTTTTTCTTTTATTTTTCCACAGCCTAAAGCTGATGATGATGATGCTGGTGTCACTAATGGAGAGATAAACAAAGGAAAGAGAGACAAAGATTCAGGCCACTCAACAAACTAAATAATTTGTTAGATCCAGAGCTAAAATTTATACAACATCTAGATACCCTTTTCCTCAACCCTCCATGACAGGAGAGTGAAACATTTAGGAAAATTGGATCTACTATTTATTATTTCAGCAGTGCAACTCCCTGCCCTCTGCCTCTTCACTACAGATCTAGCAGAATTCAAGGCCTACCTACATTACAATACACACGCCTATTTTTCTTCCCCTCCCCCCCCTCCCTTTCTTACTCCTGACCCTTATTTCTTTTCCCTTTCTTAACTCTTTCCGGATGTATGGCCGGTATATCGGCAGGAGTCCATAACCCTAGCGGACATATCACCGATACATCGGCTGTGATAGAGTACCTCAAATTTGTTTCGTTTTAACACGATCCGTCATTTATAATTACTTTTTATTGCTATTGAAAAACTCGTAAAGGATTTAGGAAACGAAAATATCTCGTTTCACTTTGTCAAAACGTGTGAACTAGTTTTTGCGGTCTTGCACCAACAAAATAATGTAACCGGACTCAGTATAAATATCATAACTCAAACAAAAATTGGAATATTGCTTTCAAATAAAAAGTTGCGCATTCAGAAATTTATGGATTATGCTCTTGGCCTGTGTATGATAACATAGCTATGCTGATTTGCTTTGACATGATTGGCGAATTAATTTTTTCCGTAAAAATTTATTTTTCTCATCACTATTCTAATGCATACTTATGTTCAAAATTAATCCTTGTTTCATATTGAAATGTATTTCTCACTCAATTTCCTTCAATTTGGTATATCATATGTTACGTTTTGAGAGAGGGCAATGCTTCTATGAAGTTATTTTGTACACCATCTGCGTAGCCATATCGAGCCGCAAGTTAATTTTGTCTAGACCCCCCAAAAAAACTACGTCTGGAAAGAGTTAACTCCTATTTTCTATTTTTTCCACAGATTAATGAGTTATGAAGAATACTACAAAATATGCTCACGAAGTAGTTTCTTTAATATCTTGTGGCCAAGAAATCACAAACGCATAGGTTATCAAACTCATATCAGACAAAACCGCAGTCAGAAACAGGAAGAAATTAATTTCTTATACTCAAATTGTGGAGCAGTTATGACATTCTTTTGCTTTATAATTTATAAGTGACATTTGTATACCACATGCAGTTTCAAATCTTCGGGTTGTGCAGGAAACGTATGCGCATTTATTATTTCCATTTCATGTCAACAAAAACAGGGAAAAAAATCCCTTCATTTCTTTAGATCAAACTTCAACTTACCAATGCAAAGAGTGGAAATACTTCATCATAACTGTGTGTGTGTGAATTGACAGAGTTTAGAAGTCGAGAATGTAGGTCATCACCAGCCCGTGTGAATGTACAAATCCCAGTGGGCACCCCAGTGAAGACACCTAGAGATTGTGTCACTTGCCCTTCTTTGAAGAAGGCAAACTAATTTCTTAGACAAAATCTACAGAGACAGAGAAGGAAAGTGTATGCTTTGAGACTTTCTGCCGCAGCAGTGAAGAAAGCTTACAAAGTGAAAGAAAACAAACAAAAGATGAAGAGGCAGAGTGGGTAAGACAAAGTAAAGAATATGAAAATCAAATAAGTCGTCTAAATTAAAGTGAAAGCTCATTAATTACATTGCCTCAATTGAAGAGTTAAAGAAAGAAAATGCTTCCCTGTAAGCACAGATCAAAAGACTGCATAATGAATCCTTTGTTGTCAGTGAAAAGTGTGATGTTATGAAATGACAAGTGAAAGACCAAAGCAAGCAGCTTGCTGATTCAGATAATTATTTAAAAGTTCTGAAAAGTAATCAAAAATTTTTCCCACTTGGGAATCAAACTCAGGTCTCCTGCGTGCAGCAGCGAAGTGTCTAACCGTTGCTTCGACAACCCGTGGATTTCATCAATCATGCCGATCAAACATTTCAAAGAGCTCAGCACAAACTTTCACTGCTGGGACAATCACAGCCAGCCACAACGTGGTGAGGAGGGATTTCATGCTCTGTACAAAGTCAGGAACGTAATCAAATATAACGATGGAGAACTTCAAAACGCATTTTGAGGCTGGCCGTGAGCTGAGTGTTGACGCGTGTATAGTGGGTTTCAAAGGAAGACTTTCCTTCAAACAATACAAGCCTGCAAAGCCAACTAATTTGACCAGTGTGTGATGCCAAGATTAGGTTCAGCCAAGGTAAAGACAGTTTTACTGGCAGGTCCAGCTACAGAGACGACTTTGCATCAATCACTTTTCAGGATGGCTTCAGCGATTTAAACACTGTAATGGCATTTCCCAGAAGGTGGTTTCTGTTGAAGTGGCAGCGGTTCAAGAAGACATTGGTTCTGACTAGAAATCAACTGTCTTACAAGAGCTCCTCAAGATTATCAGCCAAGAGATATCTACAATGCTGATGAAACTGGGTTGTTTTATCGCTGTCTTCCAGACAAAACACTGGCCTACAAGTTGGACAATGTGCATGGACACATGCAGCCCAGGGACCAACTGACCGTTCTTCTGGCTGCCAATATGGATGGCAGAGACAAACTTCTACTTTTGGTAATCGGAAAGGCCAAAAAAACCCACTGCTTCAGAGGAGTTGTACAACTTCCTTGTGACTATTACGTCAACAAGACTAATTGGCACATTCAAGGAGCGGGTTCGGAAGCAGGACAGAAAAATGGGGTTAGGGGCAGAAAGATTGTGCTTCTAGGGGATAACTGCCCTGTCCACCCTGAAGTCGCAAGGCTGCTCGAGAAAAAACTAGTGTTTCCACCCCCCCTAACACAACCAGCGTATTGCAGCGTGTGATCAGTGGATTTTTCAAGCGTTCAAGCGGCTTTATCTCAAGAGTATTTTGCACCAGTAGCTGTCAAATCTGGATTCTGGTGGAAGTGCTGACAGCATGCGCATCACAGTCCTTGATGCTATGTTCACGATGCAATCAGCATCTAGGGACGTTGCATGGTCCACCATAAGCAACTGCTGGTGACTTGCTGGCTTCTCTTTAGCACCCTTGTCTTCTGAAGACTCTGATGAACATAAACCAGAGGTCGAGCAGGAAACAGTGGAGTTCGTCAACCTGTTTGAATGCCTTGCATCACTGTTACCAACACAGTTGAGCACAACCATTCAATTTATTTACATTGACACTAGTGTGCAAACATCAGCAGTGCCTTCCGAAGCTGAAATTGTGGAGCAAGTGAAGGAAGCTTCTACTTCTCAAATAAACAGTGAAGACCATGAGCAGATACATGTGACAGTGAGCTTCGCGGAGGCAAAATAAAGAGTGGAGAAATTGAGAAACTAATTCGTAGTCAATTGGGGGTGGTGGCGGGGGATCAATTTTTTAATGTTCTTGGGGACATGCAAAAGTATGTTATGGGCGTAGGAGAAAAGGAGAAGCAGCAAACATCCATAAGCTTCCTTTTTTCCTTCTCTTGGGAAGAAATAAGTTACTGCACATGTACTGTGTATACTATTCCTATTACTATGACCAAAAAGGACTACGTGAGAAAAAGTATGTTCGTGGGGGTGCATTGACTGAATTAAAAAACTACTGATATAAAGAGCTATTTTTACTGCCCGGACTTGTTCTTTATATTCAGTGTTTCACTGTATTTTGCACAACAAAGTTTTACTCTCAAAGGGAAGAAAAGATGGGGCTACACGAGTTTCTCACAACTGTAGGAGAAGAACTTTTCGACGACTACATAAAGCAGAAATCTTCCACTGAAACACTAGAAGACACACCACTTAAAGCCACCCTTTACAGAGGTGACTGAATTGGAAACATTTTCTGAGTCTTTCGTCTCGAACTGCAAAAGATAAACCCCGAAGAAGGTGCAAAGTGAGCGTGGAGAAAGCGAAAGCTGATCCCAAGAGAGACCAAAAAAAAGCAGGAAAAGAACAGAGACGAGATGGTGGTGTACTAAGTGCCAGACACCACAAGACACAGAGCAGCAGTGCTTCGAGGACTCGTGCACAATATTGAACTACCTAGACTAATTCTGTGTGTAAGTCATCATAAACTTATCAATTCAGTTTTCTTTGTTTCGTTATATATTTTTGAGCATATGTATAGTATTTTATATATTTTTTAACAGAAATAACAACACTCTCACAAAAGCAGCAAAAATCTTGTACAGGATAGTTCGGCCAAAAAGAAAAAGTTTTTGTCACTAACATTTATTGTATTTTGAGAATCTGTAAAACATAAACAAAATAACCAAAATTCTGTTTTGTAAAGCCAAACATCTCCTACTGAAACTGACCAATTTTCATAACTCTAACATAAATACAGAGTAGTTCAATTTTGAAAAAGGTAAAAAAAAAGCTTGAAGACAGCAGCTTGGTCTGAACTAAGGCCCTGGCAGGGAGTGATTTAATATGGGGGAAAGAAAAGAAGTACGACCTTCCAGTGGCATCCTCTAAACAACGGCATCCACACATTTACAATAATTACACTTTCTGTTTCACCCGTTACAACTGTCTGGTCACAGGTCGGCAGTTGTCTTGACAATGGTGGCATCAATGATCAGGCGGCTAACATCACAGCCTACAGGTGGGCAGTACACTGACAACAGGTGAGACGGGACCTGCAGCACCGGCCTGGACTGTCCTGATCCCTGGCCAACAGGAAGAATAATTTATAAAGCAATTGAAATTGTTATGTTTTATATCTGTCAACAAAATTAATTCTTAGTATATTGAAGGTTAATCCATGTTTACTATACAGCCAATTTTTGTCATATCCAATTTTCATCCATCTGTAATTTCCAAATAACTTTTCCCTTATTTCATCCAACTACATTAAGGGGTCTAGCGGGTAATGTTTTTGGTCAATTTTTTATGAAATTATTGATTTTCTGGAAAGCAGCTTTTTAACATCTTTGATCATTGCTGAATTAGATTTTCTGGTCCATTTGATTTTAAAAATTTGATAAAACAGGTGAAAATATGTCTCAAGCGACCTCACCCCCCTCTTGCAAAAAACTACTGCTTGGTCACTTTTGCTCTCTTTTTTTGTTACATTTTGTGTCTACTTAGTTCACTTAACTTGTATAAATGAGGCTATTTGTAACTGTACAGAAATGAGATTTCATATGTGATTAGAAATAACAGTGCATATGGAACTGGAACCTCTAGAAGGAACAAACCCTCAAATTACACAGTGGCATTTTTAAATTACGCCTTTTTCTAAAAAACTTTTATTTTTGAAAGACTCTTCATCACTAAAATCTTAAAATCTGAGCTACTAATCAAGATAATGTACTGAAACTTTCCAAGTATGTGCAGATTTGGTAGTTACAGGTGCCTAGCTAGTTATATTTGAGAAAATTTACTTTATTTGAGAAATCTGCATTTGAAATTGATTTTGCGTTTAAAATTGGTACAAAAAAAGGGACATTACTTTGAAATCCCCCAGAAATTCCAGAATAATGGAAGCATACCTAAATAACCCAGCCAGGCACCTATAACTATAATTATTAACTTGATATTTATTATAAAATTATAATTATGTCTTTTGGTTTTCAAAACTTTAAGATTTTCCCAAGTATTGCATAAGTTCAATATGGCCGCCAGTGTTACATAACACTTTGGGTCAAATTGTTTTTAAACATTTTGATTTATTTCTAGGAGGGTACCACACATTTTGGGAAAGTTTGGTTTCAAAAGATGCATAAATAACAAAGATAGCTTTTCTTGGTAGCTAGACCCCTTAAAAAAAAAACCCCACCAAACCAAGCAACATGCAGAAGGTTAAAGTTCAATTCCCGCTTTGAGAGGAGTTTTCGATCAAACAACTCTGTCAGTCTGCAGGAAATTGTATCTCCTCATGCAATAAACATAGCTTAATTATAGATAAAATGGATTGGAATAGACTTCTTAGATTTTTGTAATGACTGTAAACAACCAACCATGCCATTTGCTGGTTCAGCTGGCACACCAGACAAAGCGTACTGACTGCCGGTGAGCTGTATACTACTAAGAGTTAATATGATTTAGGAGACAGGCTGCTTTGGCCCTGTCTCTCAGATGGACAGTACACACAGACAAAAGGTGAGGTGGGACCCGCGGCATCGGCCTACACTGTTCTAATCCCTGGATACGAGGAAACATAAGATATAGAACAAAGTTGTATGGAGTCTTATTTCTGTAGCTATTTTAGCACTTAAAACTTAAAACAATATCATTATCTAGTAAAAATAGGGTAAACATATTTGCTAAGAAAAGTACTCCAGACAACATAAGCTTCCTTTATCGACCAATGGCGGAAAATGTCTGAGCACACACACAACATATATTACACTCACTTATTCTCTCACACAGAAACACATACGCACAAGTCTGAGTACACACTCAAATATATGTACTCACTAATTTTCACACACACATACACATGCAATATACACACTCACTTGACTTATACATAAATACCTTAATTAAAGAAGCAAAGTGGATGGGAAGATGATACTGGCTTGCAAACTGTTCAATCTCATAGGTGTCCTTTGGGCAGAAGTCTTCACCTGTAAAAACATTTTCTAATGTACTTAGTGTGTATATAATATTATATAAGTATGTGCGCATTATATAATCTTTAAAGATTAAACAAACACTTCTATTCCTGTTCAAATGATATGAATTATCCTTTGAACTTAAAATAAATTGTGGTCAACACATTATTCCTATTTGACTGTTGAGAATTTCCCTTGAACTTATGAAAATAAATTGTGCTTAATTATAACACCAACCCTATATCGCTGGACATGCAAAGAAAAATGTGTTCAAAGAAGGATATACAATTTTCTCAACTTTTTTTTGTTCAGCTTTTCTCCCTTTAAAATGTTGTTTTAGTTTTAGTTGAGGTTTTACGGCGCTCGCAACTGCATAAGGTCATATGAGTGCCAGAAGATTAAAGGTGTTACAAGAGAGTAACAAACATAAAAAAGAAGAAGGGGAGATACGGACGATAGATGTTTGATAGGAAAAAAGAAGTAAACCACACCAGTGCACCCGCCAACCACCCACCTTTAAAATGTTATGTAATATTTAAATGCATCGTCATGAAATCCCAAAGGGGTTAAAAACATCAACATGATTTTTAAAACATGAGTCTGGCATTCTTTTCTCCTGCCATCTTCATATACTTACCTAAGTCATTTAATTGCACAAAACGATAATTTTTAAAAAATAACAACTATGAATTTCGATGTCACTGTCTCTTTTAAGGAGGTCTGGTTTTTAAAAAAACGTTAACTTCTGACATAACATCACCCTCACCTGAAACAACCAGTATGAAGCACTTTCCCAGAAAATACCTGACATCTATGAAAGGAAGACTATCTTTGATTGTCTTCAAACTGAAAAATATAAAATTGAGGTATTTCAGTTTTTGTAAGAGTTTTACAGCACTTGCAACACAGTAAGGTCATATAAGTGCCAAAGAAAAGATGTGTTACAAGAGAGTAACATGCACAGAAAAGGAGGAGAGATAAGGACGATAGATGTTAGATAGGAAAGAGGGGGCAAGCGACATCAGAGCACCCACCAAATCTATCATATTTATGTAAAACAAAACAGAATACTGGAAGAAAAAAAAAAAACCAACCACAAACCTATCAATTCACATATCTCTAAAATGATATCAAGCGTAAGGGCACACAAAGTTAACAAAAGCCTGTACTGTTTTGTGGTTCCTAGTCCTAGCTTCAGTTTGAAAATGAAAAAGCTAGATTACACAATAAGTCAGCAAGTGCAGGGAAAATGCAAGACAGAGAGACAAAAATCAGAGGGGAAAGAAAGAAGGACCTACGAGTGGAACCATCTAATCACCTGTAAGTATTATATCTGTAATCACAGTAACCAGGGTTGGTGATTTTTTTTTTTTTCATAAAAATAAAAAAAATCGATTTTATTTATTTAAATCATGATTTTTTTAATTTAAATCAGATTTTTTTTTTTTTTTTAATTTTTAAAAAAATGTCGACACAGTTTGGGATTTTTGGTTGCTAAAAGTATGTTCTTTTAGTGCAAAATGCATTGTCTTTATTTTAACTAATGATTAATTTAAGCAACCGCAAAAGAAAGCCTTAATATGCTATTATATATATATATATATATATATATATATATATATATATATATATATATATATATATATATATATATATATATATATATATATACATATATATATATATATATATATATATATCAGTGAATTATGGCTACAGACAAAAAATGAAGAAAATGTCAGTCTAAAAGGAGGGGGGGGGGGGTAATTATGCATAGATAAACTTGCATTTTATTACAGTGTGTGTGAGTGTGTGCACGCGCTTGTGTTTGTCTAAAAAGAAAAAGAAAATGTTAATTTCAATAATGAAAAAAAAGTAAATTGAATGCTGTATTATTTTAGAGTGACAGGGGTGAAAGCAGACTTTTAAGCATGATTTTATTAGTCTAATAAACCTTATATATACTGTTTTATAAAACCAAGGAAAGGAATTCTGAATATTTAAAGATGTAAAAACAGAATACATTTTTTAAAAAGTGATTTAAATCACTGAGTTTTATTTTTAAAAGCAAGTTGATTTAAAAATTTTTTTAATCAACTGATTTAAATTGACCTGATTTAAATCAACCCAACCCTGATTTCAATTATTTAAAAAAGTCAATTGAATACTGTATTATTTTACAGTGACAGGGGGGAAAGCAGACTTTTAAGCTATATTATATTAGTCTACTAAACCTTATCTGTTTAATAAAACCAAGAAAAGGAATTCTGAATGTTCAAATATGTAAAAACTGAATACATTTGTTAAAAAGTGATTTAAATCACAGATTTTTATTTTAAAAATCAAGTTGATTGAAATATAAAAAAAATCAACTGATTTAAATCAACCCAGCTTTGATTTCAATTATGGAAAAAAAAGTAAATTGAATACTGTATTATTTTACAGTGACATATGGGAAAGCAGACTTTTAAACATGATTATATTAGTCTACTTAACCTTATATCTGTTTTATGAAACCAAGGAAGGGAATTCTGAATGTTGAAATATGTAAAAACTGAATAAAAATAAATTTTTTAAAAAGTGATTTAAATCACTGATTTTTATTTAAAAAATCAAGTTGATTTAAATCAAAAAAATCAACTGATTTAAATCAACCCAACCCTGACAGTAACGCAGTAATTTCATAAAAAGAATATCGTGATGACAGCAGCACAATTTAAACCAGCATTTTAGAAGAGAGGGAAGACGGGACATCTTAATTAAAATCTTATTTTCATTTCAAATCCTGTTTGTTCTATCGGAGTACAGAACAGCACATTAAACAAACAGCGGTCATTTCGGAGAAATATGATACAGACAAATGTAAAAACAAAAGAAGGATAGAAAAGAAGTAAGATCCATTTTAACCCCCCAACCACCTATTTTCATTTCCAAATAATAGTTATGACAGCATATGTAACTATCAAGAAAGTTTTAAAACATATTAGATGGTTAACACAGAAATAGAATAGCAATCAGTTTCCGCTAATTATTCATTCTGAATAACTTGGCTTTCCATACACAATGTACATTTCATAATTAAGCTGTTCTGTCCCGAACATCAGAAATTTAAATCTCAATATTGTACCTGTCTCCACTGAACACTTTGTAAACCAAAGCAATTGCATCAATAGGTGCGCTCTTGTTGCCACTTTCAAGAGGTAAGGATTTTGTGTAACGTCTGCAAGACAAAAGATTGATAGTTAGATAATCCTCATAAAATATAATTATGCATGTTCTGACCTCTTGCACATGGACTGTGCTTGTTAAATTTTGGACATAATCATCTGTCAATGAAGATCAGAGGCCACGAAACTGCCAATGAATCCAACATATTTCAATTAGAAAAAACCCTAAGTAGCGTCCGGCTTGTTTTAAATACAAAGAATAAAAAATCTAGATATAATACAAGAAATTTTTTTTTACCGTAAATTCTGTTCACTGTTTCCATATGTTGGGTGTTCGTAAATTATGACTGCTTTGTTGATCAGGTGCATCTGCCCAGGCCTTTGTTCCATAAATTACTATCTAAAATGCAGAATCTTAGCCGAATATATAGTCTTTCAGAGCAAGATCTTACGGGTGACTTTTGTGTCTTCTGAAAACATCGAGATCTTAAACGAACTTAGGCATAGATTACTATATTACAAAGAGGAGAAAAGCATCATTATCTAAGCCAAAAATGAAGCCAGTTGCTTAATATTAACAATCCTGAGAATAAAATGGCCAGTCTCGAGAGACGACTGAGATTATTATGGACTGGCCTGAGCTCAGCGAAGGAGATTCTCTTGGGCTTCAATAAGGGTCCATAGAGAAAACAATCGCACTTACACTAGGACTCCATTATCCCCTTCTGTGAATGTCTTCAAATCATCAGGAACTGTTAAACAGCCTTCTGACGCTACAACCTGAGGAAATGAATAATACACAAGTTATGAAGTACTAAAAGATGGGGGGGGGGGGGGGGGGGGGGAGTTTAGAGCGTTAAACATGGCTAACTAAATAGTTGTTTCCTTTCTTCAACATTTAAATTTCAGCAACAAGTTTTGCTTGTGAAATACTTTGATGATTTAAAAGCAGTCTTATCAGTAACATTTAAATCTTTTCTTCTGCACTGGAAGAACCGTGGCCAAATTTTTTCAACAACAAACATTGCAACATCATTTAATATAATATGTGTGTAATAGTAATAGTAGCAAAAACTTTTGTACCAATTGAAAAAAGGTAAGTATGTAAACTACAAAAATTTCAAATTTAGTATCATTAATTTTTACAAAATAGTGTTCAGATGCACATAACCTCCACTTGATAAATATTTTTTAATGTGTTCACTGTGAATTATGTGCAAAACAAGTCAGCTTGAAAAACTGAGAAGACTTAAAAGTAAAAATAAAAGAATGAATGAAGAATGAGCCATTACTATGTTCTAGAAACTAACTTTTCAATGTAGCTGTGCATGCAAAATTTATCTGTTTCATGTGAAAGGCCTGTGTCTCCTGAGAATTTGGGTACTATTCTTTTACATTTCTGTCAATTTTTAAGAAAATGACAGCTTTATAAACAGTCAAATCGCAAGACGGAATCGCAAAGGAGCCAGAAAAAAATTCTGCATTAGACATTATCCGTCTTACACAGAGGGGAATTTAGTGGGGAGATGAGACAAAAGGGGGAGGGGGGGGGCGCGGCGTTCATAGGCCCAGTAGGTGGGATCAACGGCTGCTTGTCTGGTCGGCAAGCAATCACAAGTGGTCAAAACTTCACACCTCTCAGCTGCTATCCTCTCTGATAATGACATACGTCAGTCTTATTTATCCAAATACCACCAGTGTTTGCATTCCATAGGACCACTGTTTGACCTATTAAAACAGAATCGTTTGAACATCTCCTTTGCTTCCATCCTTAGCCCAACCCATCATTGTAATAAGCACAGTCAACCAATGCCACCCTTCATCATCATCATCATCATCATTGCCTTTCTCACCCTGCACCAGGATATAGGCCACGGACAAACACCTTCCATCTTTCTCTATCCTGAGCTAGCCTCTTGATGTCATTCCATGATAACAACGATTCAAGGAACTGGCTGGCTGTACAATCAGGGCGGCAGATTTTTCTTTCCGTTTCCGATTTGGACAGGTTTCCGTATTATAAAGAGGTAATTAAAGAGGAATATATCAAGGGGGGAGCGGGGAGATTCCGTTAAGACAGGTTTCTGTTTTACACAGGTTTCCGTTAAAGCAGGTTCGACTGTATACTCATATATTGCGAAATTCGCTAACTGGCTGCAACCCCATGCTTGGCAGATGATGAAACAGTACCAAGTGCACCAAACATTTACACATGAACAGACTACAATCACAAATTATAACACAAGATATGCGAGTATTTTTTTTTCAAGACTGTGAGATTACTGCAAATCAGTATTCTATTGCCTCAAATTTGGTGATTTGTCACTATTTCGACAAAACTTTCATCACTGCCCGAGCCCATGTCTCTCAATGACCATGTAGCCAGTGATACAGCTCTACACTTACTGAGCGTACCAAGTGCTCCTTGTGTAGTGGTCATACTAACCTAACTGGAGTTTCACGGAGCAAAATAATCCCAAACTGATAACTATTTTAATAGAAATCAATCTGGAGTGTCTACGTATACGGTTTCCCCGACACCTAGCCCCAGTGTCTACGTATACGGTAACCGGGCACGTAGTCTCAGAGTCACGTACACAGTAACCAGGCATGGAGCCTCAATATCTACGTAAACAGCAACCGGGTATGTAGGCCTAGTCTCAGTGTCACGTCACGGTAACCGGGCAGTTCAGAACTCCATGTTCAGTTTTTGTCATCCCGTGTTGCCTTCAACCCCACCCCTCCCCCGACTGTACCTTTAAAAAAAATCAATAATCCCCCCATTCCGGAGCCCTCTACAGTAATACTCTACTTCGCAGCACACAGACTTTGAATGAACTTTGGTGACCCCAACTGGTAATGATTAGGCCTACGTGATGCGAACGCACAGGTTCACTGACCGGTCACGATGGCGAACCCGACAAGACGTTTTTGTATGTCTATCTTAAATTTTTTCATCAAGTGGCAGCACAGGACAAAAACTATTGATTTATTTTCATTCCGGTTACAGTGCATGTACGTAGACTGTCGTAGATATTGAGACTAGAATCTAGATCTAGATATCTAGATCTAGAAATCTAGTTTTACTGCCTGATTGATAACGGAGTGTCTCGTGTTACGTTTACACGGTAATCGGGCATTCATCTAGATCTAGATCTATATGAGCAATTGCCAAAACGTGAGACTCTCTTGAGACTCAGTGGTGCAAAAAAAATTTTCTTACCAATTTGACTCTCTTTTCTGTCAGTCACAGATTGACATTTAGTGCTCATATCCTAGAGTATCAGAGCAAGGTGATGTACGGTTTTGGAGATATGGGTCTATTGGTTTGGCAACCACTGTACTTCTTGTATGTAACAGTGATGACAAAAACAGATAAGCAGCAAGGCAAATTATGGACTTTAAATTCCATTTGTTTATTAAACAAAGACTTTGTACACTATGAACTCCATTCATAATGGTAATATGAATGACAAGCTTTGTAACAATGACGCAGTGCACAGAACATGTCATCATTGTTATGTACAAGAAAGGATACACATTGGACATTATCATTGACAACACATCACAATAGTGAAAGGCTGTACAAATAAAGTTATCAAAGCCTCAGTACCAGAAAAACACATGTGTAAAACAATTTTTAAACTAATATGAGGCAAAAGCACAAAATCAATTGAGCTGACCTGTACATAACAGTGATGACAAACATGACTTGTACATAACAATGATGACACAATGTACAGGAAAAGACAAAAGTCTTGCCTCCAGAGAGAAAAGCGCACTTTAAGAATTAAAAAAAAAACAGGAGAGGTTTCTTTTGCTTTGAAACAGATATCAGGTCATATCAAAGACAGTGGACGATCACCACTATGTTGCTAATTATGACAAACAGTACTCGTACATAACAGTGATGACAAAACATACTGGGAAAAGGAAAAATCATGCCTACAGAGAACAAATTTGCACCAAGAGATACACAGATCAATAAAGGCGTATTTTGCTTCTAAATGAATCTTGCATGTATGAAATGTATGTTGAAAACTTATTGATATTAGCAATGATGACAAATATTACTTGTACATAACAATGATGACACAATGACACAATGTATTGGAAAAAGGTATATCATACCAACAAAGAACAAATGTGTATTTTTGAGTTAGACAGATAAACAAGGACATGTTTGTTTATTTGTTTGAGTAAAGAGAGCACACATTACTTTAAAAATGTTTGCTCTTAGGACAATGTAATTTCTCGTACGTCAGTCAGTCTTGTACGGCTGCATGACGACACCCCAAACGTCATCACTGAGCACAAAAGCTAAATCTATAACCACAGAAATGATCCATCTCTCGAAGTTTGTTCACACATCACCCTCTTGTTCCAGGAATCCAGTGTAAACAGCGCAATTTCACTCAAATATTCAACAGAGTAGCCTAAAAACACGCAAAACAGCCCAGTACGTCACATTCAACACAAAATACTTGTGCGTCACCGGGCGCTGAAGGCAATGACTACTTTCGTTTTTCTGTTTCCCCCGTTGCTTCCGTTGTTCTGGAGAAGCGGGTAAGGGGAAGTCACTCAAGAACACAATTATATCCGGGCACTGTTGATGACCCGTTCAAAACAAAAGTGGGCGAAATTCGGACTTCCGGCACGTCGCAAATTGACGACAATAACGGCGAATGTTAAACAGCCGATCGAAATCGTAGATCTAGGAACCCGATGTTCCTTTCGCGCATCGTGGCTTTTGAAGTATTGAATAAACGACGATAGGCAAAAAGATTTAACCAGCTACGGTGATTCTACTGAAAAATAATGGTGTTTTCTGAAACACCTAGTCCGTGACGACACGACAGCCGCACAAGTAATCGGAATTGTTCGTCTATTTGCAAACAAATAAACCGATTTCTTGAGCAAGTTAACCTTTCTCAATGACAAATAGCATAGGATCAAAGCACACGTAAAAAAAACCCACCCAAAAATACTAAATTTTGGACATTCTTGGAAGTTTGCATTGGTGTGCTCAAAATGACACTCCAGGAATCACTAAAAAACGAACATTTTTGGCACAAAATTTACAAACTCAAGATTATAAAGCTGACATGGGGTCTGAAACTGCTAATGCAGGTTCTGCATCCTATATTTGACGTGTGTATACGTTTTGGAGGAATAAATACTAATGCATCACATTTTATGCACACTAATATGTGAGATGTGTGTGTTTTTCCCCACGTTTTGGCAATGGCTCATATCTCGATAGAAGGTCTAGATCTATATCAAAATCTAGATCTATATTCTAGATCTAGAATCTAGAGATATAGATCTATATCTAGATCAAGATCTAGAAAAATCTAGAGCTAGCTAGACTCTAGAGTAGCCTACAAACTTACCAATAAAGTCTGCGGGCTGTAAATGTTCCTCAAAACATGGTGAGGACGAATAATCTTGGAAGATAAACCCTCATTTTGACTGGTGGAAAGGTTATTGCTTTCACTTTCATTTCCATTAATTTCCATGGTCTCCAGCCACCTCTCTCATTCAACTTTGGACACTTAATATAAAATTAAGTTTTAGTAGATCTAGAATCTAGATCTAGAATCTAGATTACCATCTGCCATCTACCGTTTGTTTTCGCCGCTTTTCCGCAGTTTTCGACCTCTAGAGTCTAGAGTGATCTGCCCCTGGCCCCTGTCTATATATATACAAAACGAAGATTTTGGCAATAGAAGTTCAGTCGCAACCCATTGGTATTTAAAAAGTTTTGGGAATAGCGAATCCACAGCGGAGATATGGTAATATAATAATATGTAAAATTGACAAAACAAAGGCGTATAATTATTTTTTTAAATCACGAAATGGTTGTAAAATTACCATGCGAATTTCTATACACAATTTCACCATTTTATCCCAATACATCTAGAATCTAGATATAGAATAGATCTAGATATATATCTAGAATCTAATCTCCAGATCATGACGCCCTTCATTTTTTTTTCCGTTTTGAGACAATTTTGCTGCAAAAAAAAACTAAATTTCTTTATTTCGCCGATCACTTTTGTTGGCCGACGCTTCTGTCTCTGTAATTTTAGAAAAGGAGGTTTCCGTTCACTAACCGTGCGCAGTTTTGAGAGTATAGATATCTGAACCTTCTAATTTTTGCATCTCTAAGATTTGCTCCATTCCAGTAGAATGTAAATATCATGCACCGATCATTCCTCGAAAAGAGGCCCAGCTAATTGTGTATAGGCCTAAATCTCGACTTCTGGAGAAGCGTCGGGTCTCTCAGATGTAATATGTAATCCCCCAACCCCCGAAAAAAACCCACCCAAAAAACAAAACCCCACCGAGTGGTGCATTTGTTCTAGTTATTTACTAGGCTTATGAGTCTGTATCTGCGAGTCCGTTTATGCTTTGAATTGCTTTCTTCAGGCTATGTAGTGTCGTGTCGTCATGTGTGCGTGCGTGCAGGTAATTATAGATTTTTTTAAATTTTTTTGTGGGGGGGGGGGGGGGGGGGGCGCACTGTTTTCACCTCAACTCGCCCTGCTTTGCTCACCTGCAGTGTGGTCCTACCCTAGCAATATGGACAACTTTGGTAAAAATCCCCACGAACTGCAGTCTTTTCTTATAACGTAACTTAACTTAATTAAGATCTTATAGGACTTGGCTATGGTGCCAGAGGGAATATGCGCAAGGGAGAGGGAAATTAGGGATTTGGAGAGTGGGGGTGGACCAGGGAAGGGATGAAGGAGAGAGGAAAAATGAGAGAGAGAGAGAGAGAGAGAGAGAGAGAGAGAGAGAGAGAGAGAGAGAGATTTTAATTTAGTTTTAGTAAAAAAATTTACGAGCTTGCAACTGCATAACATACGCACATGCGAAACACAAGTTGGTATTGCATTCACAACAGTTCACAGCACGGTTTGGTTTGGTCAATGATCAGATTAAAATGGTAAAGTAGAAACCTCAGTCTAAAGATGTTAGTTTATAAATCAAAATAATCGTATACAATTTATTGTAAAAGCCAGATGCCTTATAAGATCGAGAAATCTGTTGGGATCTACGACGGAGAATACTTGTAATTTTGTACATTGTGTTTTACAACTTACAATGTACGTCTTTCGGGTCTCTCAAAAGTCTGGACATTCTATAAATATCACTTTTGTGTCTAGATCTAATGGTGAAACATGTGCTGCACCCGACATAGAACAGTTTTCTCATCTCAATGAATTATTAAGGTGGTATTTTTTAAAATTATGTGTCAATGAGGTGTTTCCGATACACAATCTAGTAAAAAATAACTTCTTCTCTTCTGGAGAAGCTGAAAGGTTTTCGTGGACCCAGTTTGGGCATGGCGTTGTAAAGTTATTTGTTTACTCCAGCGTGTGTCTCCTCCACACTGGAGAGAGAGAGAGAGAGAGAGAGAGAGA